TTAAAAATTGCTGAGCATGTGGTGGAGAAAATGTCAAAAGAAGAGACAGAGCATAAATAACAAATTCTGCTGGTAAAACAGCTCTCTTTGATGCTGTTGAATGTGAAATGATCGAGATTGCAAAATGCTTAGTTAGAAAGAATGTCAATGTATTGACTATTAATGATGAGATTGGTAGTTTAGCTTGTAGCGGGATGTAGTGCCTGTCATAATAATAAAGTGGCACACTATCTCTACTCTGTTACTCCAGTTTTCTTTTCTTTTCCCCTGTATTGCATGTTGAAATCAAGGATACAAAGTTTTTTCATCTGTTTTGGTAAAGAGCAAATGAAATTTTAGAGCCATATGGAATGTAGTAACATTTAAAATTTTATTAATTAAGGATCCATACTTTCTTTATTCTTAATCGTGGATTTTCAATATTAATAAAACTGTTTTTGGTTTCTAAGGAAAGCAATTAACACACTAGTTGTTTTCATTGTCTTATCACATGTCAAGACTTCATTGGCATCTCTTTTATGAAGCTAGAAGTTATTGTAATTCATGATGCATTAAACATGAGATGAGAATGAGCATATAACTTAATCAAATGCAAGCAACAAATGTTATGAGAAAAAAAGTAGTATACAGTCTATGGGTGAATAAGCAAGAGTAGTGAATATACAAAATTTATGATATTGGCATTTTTTTTTTTCCATTAACTATCTTTAATTAAATCATAAAACTTTGAGAAAAGAGTAAATAAGGATGTCAACTTTAGATTTTTTTTTTCTTATTTAAAGATGTTAATTTTGTCAATTTTTAAATAAGGATATCAATTTTTAATTTTTTTAATTTAAAGATGTAAACTTTCAATTTTTTCTATTTAAAAATACTAATTTTTTATTTTTTTTAAAGAATTAATTGAATAATAATACTAATATGACAAATGAATTTTTTAACATTTTCATGTTAAGTTTGGAGATGTGGGGTTTGAGTTTCACTCTCAATGTTCAAAGTAAAAAAATAAAAATAGAACTTCAAAATCAAATGATAGAAAATGTAGTTAGATGGAGAAAATATTCAATAGATAATTTGGTGATACAAAGACTTAGGTGAAACAAACAAGAA